GTCAATTCCTTGATCATTCATAAAATCAACATTAGACACCTCTGTAACAGCCGTGATGATTTGATCCTCATTACATAAATCACTTCAAAGGATGTCAAAAGTACCCTGGCCTAAATCTTCGCAAATCTCATCGTCTTTACAGTACTGTAGTTTGACATTTTAGGCGACAATGTTTGTAAAAATGTATCCGGATACTATGAACGCTTGTTTACTATAACTAGACTTTTATGTCGTATTTAGGTCAAACTAATTTGCATGTAAATACATTTAAAAGGTTTTTTTTTAAATAAAACAAACAATTTCAGTTGGTTAATAAATATTTTTATTTTGTAATTTGACAGTAATTTTTATCGGAAACAGATGGCGTACTGCTCGCAATCAAAACATCGTATAAAGCGGCGCTCCTAAGAAAGTAGTCCGGCAAACAGGTGCCCATTCATGCCTACCACGTGATCAAGTGCCGTAGATTAGTAAAAATATACGGTTCCCTGTTATCGGGCCGAAATTGATACAAGTGACAGGATAAAATAGCATACATATCTACTAGCTTTGTTCTATCCATTGAAAAGTTGTTTTTCCATTCAGTTTTCCGGGTGTTCCTTGTTAAGCTTTTGAAATTGTGCCAATATCATTATATCATCGTAATCTCTATCACACTGATCATCCTTTGTTCGTTTAACACCACAATTGAATAATGTCTGATGTATTGGCATATCGGCACAATAACATACTTAATATACTTATCGAACGTTTTTGCATGAAAAAAAACTGAACCAATATATTGCCTAGAAAATGCCTTAAATAACCAACAATAATTTGTAATTAGATCTACACTTATTTGGGAAAACATGAGCAAAATGTATTAATCTCGCAGCAAATTATTTACATCTCAACAGTCAAAAGTTAATCCAGTTGTCGGTAAATTTAAAGTATTTCTTGCTGCTTATAGTACATTTGTACAGAAATATATCAAACACGAAGTATTGAAAACTGGAAGACTTCTTATTACAATGTCAGGTTGTTTATTGGCTGATGGGTGATTATGTAACTGATAAGGTGCTTTTATATTGTTTTTTTTTTACATTTTACACCTGTGACATTCAGGAACGTCATACAAAATTACACAAAGCTGGCAAACTTGTGACTCATTCATATTGCTTACAAAAATTAATTCAGAATTACAAAAGATATCATTCGACTTATTTATTTCTCCAATTAAAACTTAAATATTATATATTTTTGAAAGCATTAAATTGGCATTAAACCAATCCGAAGCAAATGGTCAGTAACAATTGCAAAGACCGCGGACAACATCCTCAGTGCTAGATAGCAAATGAAATAAAAATAGAAAATGAGAACAGGATGCATAATTCCGCAAATGTGTCCAACAGACTTTTTTCCCTCGACAGTCAACGAATATTTCAAGTGTGAAGGGAAAATCAAAGTCAAAAAGGGGGTGTAGCTGCCTTAAGGAATGCATTTAAATTTTCAAATTGAACAAGTACCAATTTTGAAGTGATTAACTTCGACAGTTTCTTGAAATTGACCGGACCGACATAAATCTAGTCCAAAAGGGGCACAATTTTGCTGAAATAGATTTTAGAACTATCGGACCTTCTAAAATGGTGTCATATTTTGAACTAGTGAACATATGACTACATATGATAAGTTTGATAGAAAATATTGGAATTTTTGATGCATGGGAATTTACAACGAAAGCTGTAAGTTATTTTGTTTTTATCATAACGAGCTGCGGTAAAACTGTAGCCGTGGATTCAAACCATTATATGTGACGGCATGGCCGAGATCTCAAATGTTATAATATTTTGGACAAACGTGTAAAACATGGAATTCATTTTAAAGGACATACATATTACATTGTTTACATAGTCTATTTTCTCTTGGAACTCCGTTGTTCCTATCAATTTCAATTTCTAGATTATGTGATGATAACCTAAATTGCGTAAACAAATCTGGAAACAAAGTGATCCCTCGAAAGCATTAATCACAACAAAATTACATGAAAATAGTAGACTCGGTTTGATTGAGTCTGTACATCAGGGATAATGAATAAGTGCAACATCCCTCACGCCCCAGGCACCGGCTTGAGCGGTACTCTATTCTAAACGGCATCAAGTTGTACTCTATATTTATTCATATTTACACACTTTATGTTTTTTCAAATTCGAGGTCATAATTATACATACTACAATGTATATGTTTGTAATCTACTTGAATTATTTATTTTTTTCTGAATACCCAGTTTGTTTATATAATATCTCTATCTTTCTATTTTTATTATTTGAAATGATATATTAATTTCGTTTTGCTGTAGCTAAAGAAAAGAAAAACCTATTTTGTCAAGTTTTGCTTTTATTTGATATGCCCAAATATTTCCGTTATAAGATATGTTATTATTGACATTTTCTTTCATTACATTATACATTCTTTTTATAATGAATTATTTTCTGAGCCAAAGATTTTAACCAATATTTAATCATAATAAATTTGCGTTGTATTCTCATTGGATACCGTCCCAGTTCCCCGTTACAGTTGATTTATTAACGCTTTGTGTTTTTCTTAGAAATTTTACAATGTATACACTCAATGTCTTAACCCTCATGATTCCTGTAATAGTTTACATTTTTCTTGTATACACAGGTCTATTTGATTAAAAACAAGAAATAAATTACGTAAAACAAATAAATAATGTTGAGCCAGTTTCTTTTGTGAAGGGTGCATTAGATCGTTTTTAAATAAAGTAATTCCTAAATATTTGAATAATGTCACTACTTCAAGTGGGATTTTGTTAAAAAGAGATTTTTGTAGTATGACGGCCTTGTTCGAAAATCATGATTGCAATAATTTTGAAGATCATTTTGTAATGACTTGAATATGTAAAAAGTACGGCATTATCAGCAAAAAGAGAGTAAAAATGTCCCAAATATTATCGCCGAAACCGGTTATTATATCGTTTACAAAGAATAAAAATAAGCGACTGGAGCTGGGATCTCCATGTTTTGCGCCGATGTTTAATTGTAAAAAGGGTGTAACCGTTTATTATATCTTACATCAGCTTTAACAGTACATGAACTTTACCTTCATTGGATTGTTTTATAACATAATTATTTAATGGCGTAATAGACTCCAATTAACGGACCAATTAACTTAAGCAACTTTTAAGTTTCACTTTCTGGAACTTATCATTTATGTTAAAATATACTCTTAACCTTTGTATGGCTCAAATCATACAAAGCACTTGGTAGAGTGGTAGAAAAATCTAAATCACAACGCAAACCGCTCTCATAAGGTACTATCATTGTATGTTTATTATTTCAAAATTCCTGTATTGAAATATTAAACGTAAATGAATAAAGAAATAAAGGATGATGTAAAATCAATTACGGCAGTAAAAAACTGTCTCTCGTACATTTATGGTCACTATTTCTCTGCGTAAGACAAGGACAATACACACAAAGAATGCGCTCTCAATAGTGAAAGAGGGTGTGATTTCGTGGTTGCTATTCTGCGCATCCCAATGGAAATATTTCACGTAGATGGTCCGTTAAATCAAGATGAAGTAACGTGAATTCCAATATGATTATACAATTCAAATAATATGCATGTAAGGATGATATGTGCTAATAAATGCTCAAACATAGCAAATTAATTTAACATTATTTGTTGTCTATCGTTTCTTAACAAAATTGTGGGCTATTGTGTCTTTTCTACAACCATTGATATACATGTATATTTTCAGGCATATCACTTCTTTTCCCTTGCGCTGTAAGGCGGTGCTGTTATGGTTGAAACAAAAAAGTTTCATGTATCTGTCACCTTTATTCATTTACTAGTATTTGCTACAGGGTTGAGATGAACTTAAGTATAAACTATAGCATGCCAAGCATATATCTTATTTAGTAACTTTTTACACATATATTCTGTCATATGGTAGATAAAAGACAAACAAAAAGTGTAAGCTTGATTGATATAATAAAAACTTTGCAATGTTGGCATATCTATCGCAAATAATGTTTACAATATTCCAACATTAGTCGTACATATCATTGTCTGTATTGTCGTTTGCATTCATATTGTCGCATTAGGACGCAACTGAAAAAAAAACAACATAAAACAATATTCTAGATACAGAAAACCAGAATCCCTAAAGATAGCCCAACACAACAAACAAAACTGAAAAAAAAAACAACGTAACACAATATTTAAAATATAAACTAGAACTGTGTCCAAAGTACACGGATGCCCCCACTGACAACATATATATGATATATAGTAAAAAAATCAACAAAGGGCCATAATTCTGTTAAATATGGTCGCAGCAAAAATTCCTCCCTTTACTTCCATCTACACATTAAGGTTGTTCATCCCTGGAAGTTTAAGCAAAATCTGCCATCTGGTATAAGAGGAGTTGCGTTCACAAGATTTCGGGACGTACGGACAGACGTACGGACGTACGGACAAGTGCAACGCTATATGCTCCCCACTTTGTGGGGGCATCAAAACCCAAAACAGAAATACCTGAAGAAAGCCCAACACAACGAAATTGAAATGTTGCAGGCTTGGTTTGATTGAGCCTGTTTATGGACAACAGTGGTAACTTCACGCCCACTAGCACCGGCTTATGCATAATTCAACATTTAACATGGTCTTGTAATATTTTGAATTTTGAAACAAAAATAACAATGACAATTTAAAAAAAACAGTGTTGCCTTTTATGGAATATTAAACATACGACAGATTCCATCATAACTTGTCTTTTCCTTAACCTTGATTGAGAATTGATTCATAATATCACATCAGTTACACCTTTAAATATTGTTAACATAAATGATATGTTTTAAAGAAAAAAATCATACTCTTTAACTTACCTCTAGGAGAACGTTCACAAAAATAGCTTATTGCATTACTGCAGCCGTAGTCATTCCATTTTTTAGGTAGCTGTCATTTCAACACAATTTTCCTTCTTCATATCTTTTTTTGCCATTATTCGGTTCCTTTGTGTCCCAATTTGTATATGTGGCACGTTGTTTTTCGTGCCGTCCCATTTGAATATATTTTCCGTTTCAGCATCACCCCAATCCGATCCAAGCTTCTACGGTTGAATGTCCTTAAAATTGTTTTAAAAGAACATAACACCTTCTGTTATACATTTGTATCTCTTGTAACAGATGCGACAGAATAAATAAACTGATTGAATTAATTTATTAAGGCACATTATGCCTCAGAAACAAACAAATTTTACATTTTTAGAAAGGGCAAATATGACTTTATATATCTTATATAAAATAATAATTTTGAGAATAGAAGATGTTCGTTACCTGAATTAGGTAGCGATAAATGTCACATAATTTGTCATAAAAGGAGCAAAATGTAAACAAATTAGAGAAATAGGAAGCCCTCAAGAAAGTCCAAAACGGCAAAATTGAAAATGTTGCATGTTCGGTTTGTTTGAGTCTGTTCATGAAAGGTACTGTATTGGTACAACCCAAATCGAAAAATACCACAACACAACAATAATGTAATGTTGAACGATCTTTCAGGATCGGAAATATAAAATCTCTTATTTAATGTACGGGGTGACTTTTACAACTTCAACACGGCACAAACAACGCTGATGTAGCGATAAAATAGTGAAAATTAGACTCCTTAAAGAAAGTCCAAAACGAAAATTATGAAAATGTTGCAGGTTCGGTTTGATTGAGCCTGTTCATGAACAGTTCTATCAAGTGCAAACTACCAATAGTATTTTTACTTCCGTACAAAATACTTATCCAATTGTACTTATTGCCAAAAAGCAACAGATGAAAAAAGATGGTACCAGTAAATAGCCTATGAGTTGATTTTTGGATAAAATAAGAGTACACCAAAATTAAAAAACTTTTGAGAAATAACAATAAGAGCATTTCTGAGGCATAATGGGTAAGGTCAGGTATGTTAATCATCCAAAGCTTATTTTCAGATTGTATTTTGCAGTTTTTATCTCGAAACTTTGATTAAAATACTGACACTAAATAAACAAAAGCCACCACGTAGCGGTGCCCATGCCTTTTAAAGTTAAACTCACCGGAAAAAATGAAAGGGTAGTATGTAAAAGAATTCATTTAAATAGTTCATCACAGTAATTAGCATATCACAAATTGATCAATATAATTAGTGAGCAAAACGTATTTATTTACATCCTAGAAGTCATTTGTCAACATCTTGTTAAATTGAATCGTATGCACTTGAGTTATGTTGATATATTTTCTGTATAATGTATAATTATTCTGAGTTATCACATCACCTGTGTTACTCCTCAATGTGTTCAGAAAGTTGTTGACGGCTTTGCTGTCGACTTGCGCAAGAGTTCCACCCTCAAGGGCGCAGTTCCTCTGGAAAATAAATAATTGAAAATAAATACATCAATAAATTTTGATGTAAGTATCATATAATAACCTAAATATTGTTTTCAGTATGTCACAATCAATAAACCGTCAAACATATAAAATGTAACAGGAACTTCACACGCAAACTATTGACAAATGCCTTGCTTGTTATTGATGTCATTACAGACAAAATGTGTATGCCAAAACACACTCTTAAAAGATATACTATGCTCATCATTGTATAAAATATTTTAATAACAGAAATTAATTGAAATTGATAAACAATTTACTTAATATGTTTAATTTGAATAAAATAATGAATAAACTATGTATGGGACGCTGTCCTCCCTACTACAGGCCAAGTAAAGTATGTCCTTTTTTTAAACAAAATGCCAGTTTTTTAATGACACTACATATTTATATTATGACCACCTATTACTCGTAGAGTTTTCCTAATAGTATATTTTCTTAATGTGAAGTCACAATTTTTTATTTTATAATTATCGATATTTTCTAGTACATTTATCTTAAACTGCAAATGATGAAGTAAAAAGCAGAACATGCAGCCAAAAAATGTAACTCCGTTTATTGTTCCCCTCATAGGTAAAATATGGCTAAGGATCTATAACTTTTTACCTTATAACTATTTACTTTAGTATTTGAACAATCATAATATGCATACTGGTAACTTACGGAAAATCCAGACAATTTTGAAAAAATGATTTAAAATACTGATTTAATAAATGGTTAACAATATATAATATTTATCATCAAATATCTGTTTTTGTTTCTGATATAAAAAATGTTATAATATTAATAATCTCGTCAGCACAATAAGTAACAAATGAGAAACGCATGGGGTTTTGGTAAGCAATGGCATTAATAAATGTGCAGATATCGAAAAAACTAATGTCTTCTTTATTGTGTCACTCACAAAATTATTAAATTACAAATAGATCATACGGTTATTTTATTTATTTTTCTATTTTTTACATATTTTTAAGATCTAAATATTAATGCTCATATCATATCATGTTTTTCATATTATATTATTATGCTGCCAGTCTGTAGAATGACAAAAATGGTGTTGTTGAGGCATCCCATCTTCTTTACATATTTCAAGTTTTTAAGATACATTTCCTAACACATAATGTTAAAAAATATTTAAACATCTACAAAGTCTGGTTCATACTGCATGAATGTACAACTCGTATATAATAGAATATTGTAACCACAAAACATACTTTGTCGATGTTTATTGTTTTATAATTCATTATAAGATTATGACCATTTGAGTGGGCCCCCAGCTCCAAGAAAATGTTATTTAGGGAGTTAGTCTTACGTTTCTTACGTTTCTTTATAATCATTGCGATGAGTTATTGTTCATTATAATTTTATATCGTAATCTTTTAAATCGTTTTATTCCTTAAAAATTACTTGATACGAATATTTATTACTTTTCCTTAGAATTCAAGAGTATTTTTATTTCAGGCATGTCATTGCATTTTAAAATAATTGTCCATGAAATCAAACATGTGACTTCTTGAAAGATTTTATGTTTCTCTTCATCAAAAGAATGATTCCTCTCCTATAATAATTGATACATTACTAAGTGTTCAATGCCCGTTATGCCTCAGAAACGATTTTTGTCCCTTCATGTTTAGAAAAGGCAAATGTAATGGTTTTAGAGGATGTTAAATGCTTATCACCTGATGAATATAAATTCTCCGTCATAAAAGTAGAAATATAATCGAAGTAGTTTTTTGATTTCCGTACAAAATACTAAATTACTGTAACTGTACATGTTGTCAATAAGCAACATAAGCAAATGATGGTACATACAAATCGTCAATGAGTAACAATTTGGAAATAATAACTTGACATCAAGCTTTTAGGAAATAAAGATAATAGCATTTCAGAGTCACATTTGTCCTTAAAATTTTATGCAAAAAGAAGATAATATAGTCTTGGCAATGTTTCGTTTGTATCAAATGGAGCTATTAAATATACTGTAGTGATATAAAAATTAAGATATCATTCATCATAAACAAAAGAGTTAATCTCAATCTATTGGATTCTACCAGCCTGTCCGGGTATTACTTGAACACACTGTGCTTAATGCATTGATACGAAAGAAAAAAATTAGTATAGAAGTAAAGTTTAGACTTTAAGCTGATATAGTATAGACGTTATTAACGGTATAAACTACTCCATTTATGTTTTCACCAATCACATATACGAATGACAGTAGCTAATACATCTGCGCGATCCTGTAGTTTAGAAGCAATTAACATTGCCATATAAATTATTTATTTGTTACCTTTGCGGTAGACCAGTCCACTTTCGCATTTTTGAATATATAACAACGACCACTTGACAAGCTCCAACCACTAGGACATGATTCTACATTGAGGAGAAAAACAAATCATAAGATTAGTGTTTAATCATTATTTGCCCTCTTTGCACCAGTTTTTCTTAAATGTTTTAGACTTTCGTACATGATTATTAAAAACTAGAATAGCTATATTTGAAGATAAGTTAAAAACTAGAAATGTGTCCATAGGACACGGATGCCCCCACAGGCCACTGTTCTGTCAATCTTATCAATCTTATGACTCTAGGTCAAATATTTTTTGGACTACATGTGCCACAAGTTGAAAACTAAAAATCAACAAAGGGCCATAATTCTGTTAAATTTGGTCGCAGCAAAAATATCTTCCTACACTACCATCTACACATTAAGGTTGTTCATCCCTAGAAGTTTAAACAAAATTTGCCATCCGGTTTAAGAGGAGTTGTGTTCACAAAATTTCTACATAGTATATTGTGAAAGAAATCAACAAAGGGCCATAATTCTGTTAAATTTGGTCGCAGCAAAAATTCCTTCCTTTACTACCATCTACACATTAAGGTTGCTCATCCCTAGAAGTTTAAGCAAAATCTGCCATCCGGTTTAAGAGGAGTTGTGTTCACAAAATTTCTACATAGTATATTGTGAAAAAAATCAACAAAGGGCCATAATTCTGTTAAATTTGGTCGCAGCAAAAATTCCTTCCTTTACTACCATCTACACATTAAGGTTGTCCATCCCTTGAAGTTTAAGCAAAATCTGCCATCCGGTTTAAAAGGAGTTGCGTTCACAAAAATTTCTACATAGTATATAGTGAAAAAATCAACAAAGGGCCATCATTCTGTTAAATTTGGTCGCAGGAAAAATTCCTTCCTTTACTACCATCTACACATTAAGGTTGTTCATCCCTGGAAATTTAAGCAAAATCTGCCATCCGGTTTAGGAGGAGTTGCGTTCACAAAATTTCTACATAGTATATAGTGAAAAAATCAACAAAGGGCCATAATTCTGTTAAATTTGGTCGCAGCAAAAATTCCTTCCTTTACTACAATCTACACATTAAGGTTGCTCATCCCTGGAAGTTTAAGCAAAATCTGCCATCCGGTTTAAGAGGAGTTGCGTTCACAAAATTTCTATATTGTATATAGTGAAAAATCAACAAAGGGCCATAATTCTGTTAAATTTGGTCGCAGCAAAAATTCCTTCCTTTACTACCATCTACACATTAAGGTTGTTCATCCCTGGAAGTTTAAGCAAAATCTGCCTTCCGGTTTAAGAGGAGTTGCATTCACAAAATTTCTACATAGTATATAGTGAAAAAATCAACAAAGGGCCATAATTCTGTTAAATTTGGTCGCAGCAAAAATTCCTTCCTTTACTACCATCTACAAATTAAGGTTGTTCATCCCTGGAAGTTTAAGCAAAATCTGCCATCCGGTTTAAGAGGAGTTGCGTTCACAAGATTTCGGGACGTACGGACGGACGGACAGACGTACAGACACTCGGACGGACAAGTGCAACGCTATATGCTCCCACTCTGTGGGGGCATAAAAAGACGATCAGTCGCTATTTTCCCGCATGATAAAATTCTTGAAAATATCAATTCATATGAAAATGTATTTAACATTTTATACGTTTTTCATTACAGACAGGGAAAGATTAAGAATATCCATAAATACATATGTAAAATATAAGGCAAATTTAGTTTTCCAATCATTGAACAAAAAGTCACTCTCAGGGACACCGCAACCTGTCTATGTGTCTCTCTATCACGCTCTCTCATGTTTAGCAAACTAGTTATCTAATTGAATTACAGACGAAAGACTTTTCGAAACATGATGTATTATTTGTGACCGAACACTTCTTCAATGTTCGTCAATCAGATAATAAATTGCTATATTCTTTAAAATAATACTTTCTTTGAACTGTTGTAAACATGGTATAAAAAACCTAACAAATCAAACATATTGATACCGGGAAAAGCAGTTTTAAATTTAACGTATGTATCGAGTTTTTTATGCCGTTGCCATAGTTTTAAGCTTTAACTGGTGTCGAAGTAAAAAACAGTTAAAAGTGCAAGCAAGTTCTAAAACGAATAAATGGAAATAAACATATATACTTCATAGACTTGTATTTATAAACTTTTGTGTGAGTATTTGTATATTTACAGCTTCTATTTATGCATTTGTGCAATTTTAACTCTCGTATATGCCCAAATACTTATTATTAAAACTGAATTACAATAGATTTTTGGGTGTTTTAATATTACAGCGTTAATCAATTAACACTATAAAGATTCTCATTTTTTATTAGCTAGTATATTTATTTATCTTACTTTTTTCGGTAACAAGATGTGTAAAATGATGCTTGAAGTCGTCCAAAATTAAAAAGAAAATCAGGCTTATCTTTGAGTGCTAAAACTAAGGAAACATGTTTTGGTAAAATTGCACGCAATACGGACACATTAATTGTTCTTAACATTGTTTGACATTAATAAATATTATTAGTTTTTTTTCTATGAAAATACCATTGTTTATCATATATATTGAGTTTTTTTTATAGTAAAGCCTTTCATTTTATTTCAGATTCAGGATGTTAAACTAAGTTTAACAAAGGTCGTTGACATATATGTGGTTTCCGGTAAGCATTTTGAACCCCCCTAAAAAGCTCTTTGGAGATCAGACTTGAATGATAATTTTGAGCGTAATATGTTATCACGTTTTCATCATAACACAATTATATTGGGATAGATTTTTGAAGGTCAGATGATTAGAAAAATCAGATACATACGCGATTCACTCCCATTTTAACAAAATGAAACGTCAAAAGGACAAAATGTAGTAAAAATATGTGAGCTAATCTATTTAATTGCCCACGGAATCAAAATAGATTGATATTAACTTTTACACTGCAATGAGTCCTACTCTACCAACGTCCGCCCTTTTCAATATCAATATGTTACTCAAAATAGCACACTTTAAAATATCGCAAATTTCTTCGTAAAATCGGATATTATGATTCTATGCCTGAAAAACATCCATTTTTTCTGTTATAATAACGATGCTTCTTGATGACGAATCTCATTTTGATATATTTTAATTGAATATTCGGCCAAAATAACCGAATAAGTAGAAAAATCTTTGCAAACGGTAAACGCTTTTTGTCAACCATTGAAGTATGGACTGAATTCGTTATAAACACTTATATTATGACACTTTCCGACTTTAATATTGATGTGTTTTATAATGATAATCTTGCTTTTTGATGTTGGATCTCATATGAATTTATTTTCATTGAATCTTTCATACATAAAATTGGTCAGTAGATTTTTTTGCGGGCGTACATAATGCTATATTTCAACCATAAAATGTCAAGCGCCTAAGCCCCGGCCCGCCCCTCTTTTCAAAACTTAGTACTTTTTAATGCACATAGGAAGTAGTGTCACTGATATTAATATTTTGTTTCTTGTGTGTCCAGGTGAAAAAAAAAATCAAAAATTGGGCTGGATAGAGGATATGGAAATCCCAACGAGAAGAACCGGCGAGAACCGATCACCCTCGGGCTGAGATTTTCCTATCCTTTATCTAACCAAATGATAGATTTTATTATTCTTGCATCTCAGACAGGATTATCTACAGTTAACAACTGTGCTAGAAAACTCTGTCTTACATCTCCCCATGTAAGACAAGTCGGATGCTTTAAATGACGTCATTGACGCGCGCCTTTTATGAATGAATCGCATTCTTAGGATGACGTCATTGTTCCGTTATGAATGAAGTTGTATGTTCATACGCTACTATAAGAAAAGAGTGCGTAATAAGAATATCAGTTTCCATAATTTCTGTTCCGAAAATAATTGACATGTAATATGAAAGAAAAAGAATCAAACACCGACTGTTGGTACAGACGGGAATATCTAGCTCTCGGGGTAACTGTTTAGCGGAAACTCCGCAGAGCCTCGTTACCGCTGCAAACAGTTACCCTCAAGCTAGATATTCCGGTCTGTTCCGGCAGCCGGTGTAAGATTCCTATAGTCTTTTCCTTAACCATTATTGTGATTGATTCAAATTACATAAGCTACACAAGATACTGTTTACATAAATGATATGTAAGTTAAAAGAAAAAATATATTATTTTTCTTACTTGTAAGGGAACGTTCACAAAAATAGCTGTTTTTCCTATTGCAGAAGACGTCATTCCATTTTTCAGTGACTGTCATTTCAACACAATCTTCGTTAAATCCCCCATTATTCGGTTCATTTGGTCTCCAATTTGTATATGTGACACGTTGTTGCGAGCCCTCCCATTTGAATATATTTTCCGTTTCACCATCACCCAATCCGATCCAAGCTTCTTGGGTGTATTTATGTCCTTACAATTGTTTAAAAGAACATAACACCTTCTGTTGTACATTTGTAGGTTTGGTAACAGATGCGACAGAATAAATAAACTGATTGAATTGATTGATAAAGGCACATTATGCCTCAGAAATAAACACATTTTACTTTTTAGAAAGGGCAAATATGATTTTATATATCTTATATAAAGTAATGATTTAAGAGAACGTAAAATGCTTGTTACCTGAAGTAAGTAGCGATAAATGTGACATTAAATGTCAAATATTGAGCAAAATGTAAATAAATCAGAGAAATAAGAATTCCTTAAGAATGTCCAAAACGTCAAAATTGAAAATGTTACAGGCGGCTCGGTTTAATTGAGCATGTTCATGAAAGGTACTGTCAAGTGCAAACTATCGTCCGCGCCCCCTAGCACCGGCTTAAGCAGAATTCAACATTTAAAAATGAAATGAAGAACTTATAAATTTAGAAACATCCTCAGAAGTGTCCATACGGCGGTTATCTTGAAACATTCAATGTGACTTTTCTGTGCCATTCTATGAAAAGCGGTGTATGGTAAAAGAAGCGTGTACCCTAAAGGAGAAAGCAATTGGCAGAACTAAACACAATGGAATTTTGAAAGGGGATTAGAGGTTATGGAGCCTGCATATCACAGATAAGACGTCAAACGAATAGTTAAAGAGCAGACAACATATTCTAAGGCTGATGTAGGAATATTGGTACAAACCAATCGAAAAATACCACAGCACATGAATTATGTCATGTTAAACGATCTTTAAATTGGTCATAATTAAAGTTTTAACCTTCACATTTTATTGAATTAAAACTGTAAAAATCAATTGAAAATTAAAAAAATGAAATTTAAATTTTGTTTAAAGCAGTTAATAAATTGATAAATGTTATTTTTGCACCCTGTGTTTAGCAATTTACTAGATCTATAGCTTATTTTATATTCATATATAAAATAGTATTTTTCAAAGAAATGCATTTTAAATTATGGATAAATGGATAAACCTTGCATTGCAAGGAATTGGGGAGTGGTGTTTTCCGACTGGATACATTGGTAAAAAAGTGATTGGCAAGCTCATTCCAGAGGTCTTAGGGGCCCAAGAAGCACCGGTCATGGGATTCGAACAAGCACCATAGTAGCCTATTGCTCATATGGACCACACATTATATGCACTGCTGTTTCAGCAAAGTATTGATGCTGTAGTAATCAGATTGTAATTTTTCACTATTGTCTTGTATTTCAATGAAGCAGAACTGACAATTGAACAGGACAAATGTGATTTACATGTTGGAAATATAGGTATTTTTAGTGTAGTGAAACTGCCGTGTTGCTGAATGTATTTGCTAATATATACACACAAGAGATTTTATAATCATTTAACAGTGTAGTTTATGGATAATTGGCTCATTTAGAATAACACAGAATAACACAGTTGATGTGATTGTTGTGGTTGTTGTTGTAGCTAGCTGCTATAGCAGTTAAATGAAGTTAGGTTTATAATGTCTAAACTGCTATTTTCATGCAGGCATGCATTTTTTAGCACACAACATTTAAACCCTCCTGTGTGAATTAGCAAATCAAGCCATTGGTTGATTAAACATTGTTTTTTTTCTTTTTTAGATAGCAGAATTACAGCATAAATGCCTCTTATAATTTCCTTCGAAATGTACCAGCGTTGCATATTTTTTCAGACCATGCGGTTATCAAAGCCGAAGTTTGAAAGGAGGATCTATGGAAGAACTCCTTCAGCTCAGTTTTTTTTGTATTCTCCAGGATCTCATTTGTTGGCGAAAGGATTAAAGATGTACTATCCGCCAGCAGTAAGGAGTTTTTAAAGTGGTGAATTTTAACAGTGTTACATCAGAATGAAGATTACTGAAAAAAGTAGATGGCTAACCATAATATTTTGGGACTCATTTGTCTAAGGTAGTGTTGATGTTTAAAAGTTGAAGACAGTATATAATTCATCAAGAACAATGGAGTCAAGAATTAAGCCTCAAATGTGACTGATTTACTATAGAACAAAGAATACGAAAATTCACCAGGCCGAGACCCTTTTTCAACCTCTACTAGGCACAAACAACGCTGATGTGGCGTTAGAATATGGAAAATAAGACTCCCTAGAGAAAGTCCAAAACGGAAAAAAAATAAAAATGTTGTAGGTTCGGTTGGTTTGAGCCTGTTCATGAACAGCACTATCAAGTGTAAATTACCAATATTATTTTTACTGCCATAAAAAACTAATTCAATTGTACTTATAGCCAAAAAACAGCAGATGTAAAAAGATGATTACAGTAATGATTTTTGGATACAATTAGTGTACACCAAAATTAAAAAGCTTTTGAGAAATAACCATAAAAGCATTTTTGAGGCATAATGGTTAAGTAAAGGTATGACAATTATCCAGTTTTAATGTTAAAGCTAATTTTCCATATTGTATACTGAAGTTTTATATCGGAACTTTGATTAAAATACTAAAAATAAATAAACAAAAGACACCACGTAGCGGTGCCCATGCTTTCTAAAGTTAAACTTACAGGAAAACATTAAAGAGTTGTATGTAAAAGAATTCATTTAAATAGTTCATCAAAGTAATTAGCTTACCATAGAATCATCACAAATATATTTAGTAAGCAAAATTTCTTGACTTACATTTTAGAAGTCATGTGTTCACAACTTTTTAAATGAAATTGTTCGCACTAGAGTTTTGTAGATATCTTTTCTTTATTATTTATAATATCTGAGTTATCATCTCACCTTCGTAACTCCTCAATGTGTACAAATAGTTGTTGACGGCTTCGCTGTCGATTTGCACAAGAGTTCCACCCTCTAGGGCACATTTGCTCTAGAAAATAAATAATTGAAAAAATTTCCCTTAATAAATTTTGAGGTAAGTATCATTAAAAACGAAATATTATTTCCAGTATGTCGCACTCACAAAACCGCCATGTTAAACACATAAAAAGCAACAAGAACTTCACATGCACACTATAAACAATTGCCTGGCTTGTTTACGAGGGACGGTCAGAAAATGTCCACATGCAGCTATATACACACAATATATATTGGTGAAAACTACATTTATTCGCCAATAACGTGGTCAGTTTATTTTCAATGATAGTTGTGAATACACAGTATTTTGCCCTCTGATATATGATAGGTGTTCGTCTATCATGGACTCTTTGTTAGAGAAACAACGCTCTGTAATAAACTTTCTGGTTGCAGAAGGTGAAAAGCCCTGCCACATCTTTAAGATGCTTAAAAAAATATTTTCTGATAACTGTGTATCACGTTCAACCTTCTACAACTGGGTTTCTCAGTTTCGTGAAAGCAGAACAAATGTTTGTGACAGGCCTAGGACTGGGCGGCCGGCTGAGGCGGTGACGACAACAATGGTAGCAAATGTTAAAGCTTTTGTCAACAAAAATCGTCGAGTAACTTTGGAGGAGGTAGCCAACAAGTTTAGCATCGGTAAGGCATCGGCACACAAAATTTTACACGAACACCTAGGCATGAGTAAGATAAGTGCCAGGTGGGTGCCTAAACAGCTGTCCGCAGATCAAAAGGCAACCAGAGTAACCAATGCAAAAGAACATTTAAGTCGTTTTAATCGTGAAGGAGATAAGTGTTGAACCGCATTATCACTGGAGATGAGATGTGGGTTCATTATTCCGAACCTGAGACAAAAGCTCAGTCAAAGCAGTGGAAACGAGCTGGTTCCCCACCTCCTAAAACGTTTTAGGTGTATCCTTCGTCTGGCAAAGTCATGCTTGTTGCCTTTAGGGATTCACGAGGAATGATACTTACTCATTTCATGCCAAAAGGTCAAACTGTCACCGCCAAGTACTATTCGGAAGTAATTCTGAAAAATCTCAGAGAAAAGCTGAAGCAAATGCGTCACAGGTTAGCACAGAAAAATGTCCTCCTTCTTCACGATAACGCCCCCTCCCATACCGCCGCAGCTACAGAAGAGGTTGTTGTCTCATCCTCCTTATAGCCCAGATCTCACTCCCTGTGACTTTTATTTGTTTCCAGAACTGAACAAATTGCTTGATGGAAAGAAATATAAGACCAGGGCGGCTGTGATATCTGCTGTTACACAGTACCTAAAACATAGGTCTACGTCATGGTTCACAACGGGAATACAAAAGCTCCTACTAAGATGGCAAAAGTGCGTAGACGTAGGTGGAGAATATTTTGAAAAAGAGTAGAAAGATTTTTTTTAAAATGTTGAATGGTTTTCGAGAACGAGTCAAAATTCCGGATATTTTCTGACTTCCCCTCGTACCTCCTAACAGACAATATTGTGTATGCCAACACACTCAAATTAAACAAAAACATTCTATGCTCATCATTGTTTAAAATATTTAATAAATAATAACAGAAATTTATTGAAATTTATAAATACTTACTATATATGTCTAATTTGAATAAAAGAATGAAAAATATATATATAATGACAAGGTGTATGAATACATTCAAATATTTTAATAAATCTGCTGAGCAACAATTCTTTTGATAACATATTTTAACAAATGACAAAGTTTATTTACAATAGAATAGTTAGAGTATAAAGTTACATAGTAACGAGTTCTTTATAACTTTCATAATTATAACATACATGACTTTTTAAATATATCAAAGACATGTATACAATATCTGTAACTATAACTATAAAAAGATATAAAAAGTATGTAAATAAGCTATAAGTTTCAATTAAATTATATAAATTATTTATCTGGAATTTAAGGATTCCCGTCCAATCAATTAACAAGAAACTTTTAAAATGTGTGAGTGAAGATAAGAACAGAAGACTCTCTATGTATACTGTATACCCAAGATATGTTGTCAGACTGTCACTGTCATTTTACATCATTTTCAGTCTGGCTACATTCTTACCATCACAAGTATCTAAACATAACTTAACATATAATCAGTTGCCTTTTTTTTATTTGTAAATTGTCCTGTCTGGTTATAAAGCTAAGTGTATGTACATGGTAAATAAAACTTGAAGTAACATTATACATAACAATTAATTACGATTCCACGATTCTACAAGCTTGTTCTTATATATCAGGAGTCACAATTTTCTATTTTTTATTTACAAAAAGAATCTGTGTAGCAATTATCGAAGAAAAAAAGGAGAACATGGGGCCAAAATGTAACTCCGTTTATTGTTCCCGTCATAGGTAAATATGGCTAAGGATCTACAACGTTTTACCTTATTAAGTATTTACTTTAGTATTTGAACAAGCATTATATGCATACATAGCAACATACGGAAAAAATCTGACAATTTTGAAAAAAAATAATTTAGATACTTATGTTTAATAAATGGTTAACAAGATATAACAGTTATTATCAAATATCTGTTGTTTTTTCTTATATAAAATTATACATTTATAATGTCGTCAGCATAATAAGTAATAAATGAGAAACTCATGAGCTTGGGGTAAGCAATGACATAAATAAATGTGCAGATATTGAAACAACTAATGGCTTCTTCATTGAGTCACTCAAAAAATATTAAATTATTATAGATCACACGGTTATTTTATTTATTTTTTATTTCTTTCACATAATTATTTTTAAGATCTTAATATTAAATTTCGTTGGCTTAATTCTACAAACCCGTTTGTCATTTTTTGTCATTTTTTGAAAATCGCATTTGAAAGTTTGAACTGCAATAACTTTTTAATGATAAACCGTATAAAGATAGAGTTTTCTATGAATTAAGGAATCTGTATGATATACATATTTACCAAATTTTATTACTGTGCATACATTTTAAAGCTTAAATCTCTAATAATTTATTTCAATTTTTCATAATAAATAAGAAAACACATACATATTCTCAAACCACATTCAGGAGGTACTGGGTTGTAAGCAAATTATTTAGGTCATTTCTACACCATTAAAGCGACATACGGGGTTGTTAGTGAAATATTTGAAGCAAAATTGAATAAGTGTAATAATATTCGGCTAGAAACATAGCAACACTTCAAAGTCAAAATATCCTTAACTTCTCCTACTGTGTTAAATATAAACG